TAGCGTGTGCAAAATTGCGAGAACAAGGGCATAGCGTGTGCAAAATTGCAAGAACAAGGGCCTAGCATGTGAAACATTGCAAGAACAAGGGCCTTGCGTATGCAAAATTTCAAGAACAAGGGCCTAGCGTGTGCAAAATTGCAAGAACAAGGGCCTAACGTGTGCAAAATAGCAAGAACAAGAGCCTAGCGTGTGCACAATTGCAAGAAAGAGGGCCTGGCGAGTGCAAAATAGCAAGAAGAAGGGCCTAGCGACTGCAAAACAGCAAAAACAAGGGCCTAGCGTGTGCAAAATTGCAAGAACAAGGGCCTAGCATGTGCAAAACAGCAATAACAATGGCCTAGAGAGTACAAAATTGCAAGAACTAGGGCCTAGCATGTGCAAAATTGCAAGAACAAGGGCGTAGCGTGTGCAAAATTGCAAGAACAAGGGCCTAGCCAGTGCAAAATTTCAAGAACAAGGGCCTAGCGAGTGCAAAATTGCAAGAGCAAGGGCCTAGCGTGTGCAAAATAGCAAGAACAAGGGCCTGGCGAGTGCAAAATAGCAAGAACAAGGGCCTAGCGTGTGCAAAATAGCAAGAACAAGGGCCTAGAGGGTGCAATATTGCAAGAACAAGGGCCTTGCATGTGCAAAATTGCAAGAACAAGAGCCTAGAGAGTACAAAATTGCAAGAACTAGGGCCTAGCATGTGCAAAATTGCAAGAACAATAACGTAGCGTGTGCAAAATTGCAAGAACAAGGGCCTAGCCAGTGCAAAATTTTAAGAACAAGGGCCTAGCGAGTGCAAAATTGCAAGAACAAGGGCCTAGCGAGTGCAAAATAGCAAGAACAAGGGCCTGGCATTTGCAAAATTGCAAGAACAAGGGCCTAGAGATTGCAAAATTGCAAGAACAAGAGCCTAGCGTGTGCAAAATAGCAAGAACAAGGGCCTAGCGTGTGCAAAACTTCAAGAACAAGGGCCTAGCGTTTGCAAAATAGCAAGAACAAAGGCCTAGCGTGTGCAAAATAGCAATAACAAGGGCCTAGCGTGTGCAAAATTGCAAGAAAAAAGGCCTAGCATGTGCAAACTAGCAAGAACAAGGGCCTAGCGTGTGCAAAATAGCAAGAACAAGGGCCTAGCATGTGCAAAATTGCAATAACAATGGCCTAGAGAGTACAAAATTGCAAGAACTAGGGCCTAGCATGTGCAAAATTGCAAGAACAAGGGCGTAGCGTGTGCAAAATAGCAAGAACAAGGGCCTAGCCAGTGCAAAATTTCAAGAACAAGGGCCTAGCGAGTGCAAAATTGCAAGAGCAAGGGCCTAGCGTGTGCAAAATAGCAAGAACAAGGGCCTGGCGAGTGCAAAATAGCAAGAACAAGGGCCTAGCGTGTGCAAAATAGCAAGAACAAGGGCCTAGAGAGTGCAATATTGCAAGAACAAGGGCCTTGCATGTGCAAAATTGCAAGAACAAGAGCCTAGAGAGTACAAAATTGCAAGAACTAGGGCCTAGCATGTGCAAAATTGCAAGAACAATGGCGTAGCGTGTGCAAAATTGCTAGAACAAGGGCCTAGCCAATGCAAAATTTCAAGAACAAGGGCCTAGCGAGTGCAAAATTGCAAGAACAAGGGCCTAGCGAGTGCAAAATAGCAAGAACAAGGGCCTGGCATTTGCAAAATTGCAAGAACAAGGGCCTAGAGATTGCAAAATTGCAAGAACAAGGGCCTAGCGTGTGCAAAATAGCAAGAACAAGGGCCTAGCGTGTGCAAAACTTCAAGAACAAGGGCCTAGCGTTTGCAAAATAGCAAGAACAAAGGCCTAGCGTGTGCAAAATAGCAATAACAAGGGCCTAGCGAGTGCAAAATTACAAGAATAAGGGCCTAGCGTGTGCAAATTTCAAGAACAAAGGCCTAGCGTGTGCAAAATTGCAGTCAGAAGGGCCTAGCGTGTGCAAAATTGCAAGAACAAGGGCCTAGCGTGTGCAAAATAGCAAGTACAAGGGCCTAGCGAGTGCAAAATTGCAAGAACAAGGGCATAGCATGTGCAAAACTTCAAGAACAAGGGCCTAGCGTTTGCAAAATAGCAAGAACAAGGGCCTAGCGTGTGCAAAATAGCAAGAACAAGGGCCTAGCGAGTGCAAAATTGAAAGAACAAGGGCCTAGCGAGTGCAAAATTGCAAGAACAAGGGCCTAGCGTGTGCAAAATAGCAAAAACAAGGTCCTGGCGTGTGCAAAATAGCAAGAACAATTGCCTAGCGAGTGCTAAATTGCAAGAAACAAGGGCCTAGCATGTGCAAAATAGAAAGAACAAGGGCCTGGCAAGTGAAAAATAGGAAGAACAAGGGCCTAGCATGTGCAAAATTGCAAGAACAAGGGCCTAGCATGTGCAAAATTGCAAGAACAAGGGCCTAGCATGTGCAAAACTGCAAGAACAAGAGCCTAGCGTGTGTAAAATAGCAAGATTAAGGGCCTGGCGAGGGCAAAATAGCAAGAACAAGGGCCTAGCGTGTGCAAAATAGCAAAAACAAGGGCCTAGAGAGTGCAATATTGCAAAAACAAGGGCCTTGCATGTGCAAAATTGCAAGAACAAGGGCCTAGTGAGTGCAAAATTGCAAGAACTAGGGCTTGCAATTTTGCACTGGCTAGGCCCTTGTTCTTGCAATTTTGCACTCGCTAGGCCCTTGTTCTTGAAACTTTGCACACGCTAGGCCCTTGTTCTTGAAATTTTGCACACGCTAGGCCCTTGTTCTTGCTATTTTGCACATGCTAGGCCCTTGTTCTTGCAATTTTGCACCCGCTAGGCCCTTGTTCTTGAACTTTTGCACACGCTAGGCCCTTGTTATTGCAATTTTGCACACGCTAGGCTCTTAGTCTTGCTATTTTGCAAACGCTAGGGTTTAGTTCTTGAGCGTTTGCACACGCTAGGCCCTTGTTCTTGCAATTTTGCACTCGCTAGGCCCTTGTTCGTGCAAATTTGCACTCGCTAGGCCCATGTTCTTGCTATTTTGCACACGCTAGGCCCTTGTTCTTGCTATTTTGCACTCGCTAGGCCCTTATTCTTGCTATTTTGCACATGCTAGGCCCTTGTTCTTGCAATTTTGCACTCGCTAGGCCCATGTTCTTGCTATTTTGCACACGCTAGGCCCTTGTTCTTGCTATTTTGCACTCGCTAGGTCCTTGTTCTTGCTATTTTGCACACGCTTAGCCCGTGTTCTTGCAATTTTGCACTCGCTAGGCCCTTGTTCTTGCTATTTTGCACTCGCTAGGCCCTTATTCTTGCTATTTTGCACACACTAGGCCCTTGTTCTTGCAATTTTGCACTCGCTAGGCCCTCGTTCTTGCTGATTTGCACTCGCTAGGCCCTTGTTCTTGCAATTTTGCACTCGCTAGGCCCTTGTTCGTGCAAATTTGCACTCGCTAGGCCCATGTTCTTGCTATTTTGCACACGCTAGGCCCTTGTTCTTGCTATTTTGCACTCGCTAGGCCCTTATTCTTGCTATTTTGCACACGCTAGGCCCTTGTTCTTGCAATTTTGCACTCGCTAGGCCCATGTTCTTGCTATTTTGCACACGCTAGGCCCTTGTTCTTGCTATTTTGCACTCGCTAGGTCCTTGTTCTTGCTATTTTGCACACGCTTAGCCCGTGTTCTTGCAATTTTGCACTCGCTAGGCCCTTGTTCTTGCTATTTTGCACTCGCTAGGCCCTTGTTCTTGCTATTTTGCACACACTAGGCCCTTGTTCTTGCAATTTTGCAATCGCTAGGCCCTCGTTCTTGCTGATTTGAACTCGCTAGGCCCTTGTTCTTGCAATTTTGCACTCGCTTGGCCCTTGTTCTTGCTATTTTGCACTCGCTAGGCCCTTGTTCTTGCAATTTTGCACACGCTAGGCCCTTGTTCTTGCAATTTTGCACTCGCTAGGCCCTTGTTCTTGCTATTTTGCACACGCTAGGCCCTTGTTCTTGCAATTTTGCAAACGCAAGGCCCTTGTTCTTGCTATTTTGCACACGCTAGGCCCTTGTTCTTGCAATTTTGCACTCGCTAGGCCCTTGTTTTTAAAATTTTGCACACACTAGGCCCTTGTTCTAGCTATTTTGCACACGCTAGGCCCTTGTTCTTGCAATTTTGCACTCGCTAGGCCCATGTTCTTGCTATTTTGCACACGCTAGGCCTTTGTTCTTGCAATTTTGCACTCGCTAGGCCCTTGTTTTTAAACTTTTGCACACGCTAGGCCCTTGTTCTTGCAATTTTGCACATGCTAGGCCCTTGTTCTTGCAATTTTGCACACGCTAGGCCCTTGTTCGTCCAATTTTGCACTCGCTAGGCCCTTGTTCTTGCAATTTTGCTCACGCTCGGCATTTGTTCTTCCAATTTTGCACTCACTAGGCCCTTGTTCTTGCAATTTTGCACACGCTAGGCCCTTGTTCTTGAATTTTTGCACACGCTAGGCCCTTGTTATAGCGAGGGCCTAACGTGTGCAAAATAGCAAGAACAAGGGCCTGGCACATGAAAAATTGCAAGAACAAGGGCCTAGAGATTGCAAAATTGCAAGAACAAGGGCCTAGCGTGTGCAAAATAGCAAGAACAAGGGCCTAGCGTGTGCAAAACTTCAAGAACAAGGGCCTAGCGTTTGCAAAATAGCAAGAACAGAGGCCTAGCGTGTGCAAAATAGCAATAACAAGGGCCTAGCGAGTGCAAAATTACAACAACAAGGGCCTAGCGTGTGCAAAATAGCAAGAACAAGGGCCTAGCGAGTGCAAAATTGCAAGAACAAGGGCCTAGCGAGTGCAAAATTGCAAGAATAAGGGCCTAGCGTGTGCAAAACTTCAAGAACAAGGGCCTAGCGTTTGCGAAATAGCAAGAACAAGGGCCTTGCGTGTGCAAAATAGCAAGAACAAGGGCCTAGCGAGTGCAAAAATGCAAGAACAAGGGCCTAGCAAGTGCAAAATTGCAAGAACAAGGGCCTAGCGTGTGCAAAATAGCAAAAACAAGGTCCTAGCGTGTGCAAAATAGCAAGAACAAGCGCCTAGCGAGTGGAAAATTGCAAGAACAAGGGCCTAGCGTGTGCAAAATAGCAAGAACAAGTGCCTGGCAAGTGCAAAATAGCAAGAACAAGGGCCTAGCATGTGCAAAATTGCAAGAACAAGGGCTTAGCATGTGCAAAATCGCAAGAACAAGGGCCTAGCATGTGCAGAATTGCAAGAACAAGGACCTAGCATGTGCCAAATTGCAAGAACAAAAACATAGCGTGTGAAAAATAGCAAGAACAAGGGCCTGGTGAGCGCAAAATAGCAAGAACAAGGGCCTAGCGTGTGCAAAATAGCAAGAACAAGGGCCTAGAGAGTGCAAAATTGCAAGAACAAGGGCCTAGCGTGTGCAAAATTGCAAGAACAAGGGCCTAGAGAGTGCAAAATTGCAAGAACAAGGGCCTAGCGTGTACAAAATTGCAAGAACAAGGGCGTAGCATGTACAAAATTGCAAGAACAAGGGCCTAGCATGTGCAAAATTGCAAGAACAAGGGCCTAGCATGTGCAAAATTGCAAGAACAAGCGCCTAGCATTTGCAAAATTGCAAGAACAAGGGCCTAGCGTGTGCAAAATAGCAAGAACAAGGGCCTCGCGAGTGCAAAATAGCAAGAACAAGGGCCTAGCGTGTGCAAAATAGCAATAACAAGGGCCTAGACAGTGCAATATTGCAAGAACAAGGGCCTAGAGAGTGCAAAATAGCAAGAACAAGGGCCTAGCGTGTGCAAAATAGCAAGGACAACGGCCTAGCGTGTGCAAAATTGCAAGAACAAGGGCCTAGCGAGTGCAAAATTGCAAGACCAAGGGCCTAGCGTGTGCAAAATTGCAAGAACAAGGGCCTAGCGTGTGCAAAATGGCAACAACAAGGGCCTAGCGTGTGCAAAATAGCAAGAACAAGGGCCTAGTGAGTGCAATATTGCAACAACAAGGGCCTTGCGTATGCAAAATTGCAAGAACAAGGGCCTAGAGAGTGCGTGGAGGACGTGGATGTGGACGTGGACGTGTACGTGGACGTGGACGTGGACCTGGACGTGGACGTGGACTTGGACGTGGAGGTGAACGTGGTCGTGGACGTGGACGTGGACGTGGTCGTGGACGTGGACGTGGACTTGGACGTGGACGTGGACGTGGACGTGGACTTGGATGTGGACGTGGACGTGGACGTGGACTTGGACTTGGATGTGGACGTGGACCTGGACCTGGACCTGGACGTGGACGTGGACGTGGACGTGGAGGACGTGGATGTGGACGTGGAGGACGTGGACGTGGACGTGGACTTGGATGTGGACGTGGACTTGGACGTGGACGTGGACGTGGACGTGGACGTGGACTTGGATGTGTACGTGGACGTGGACTTGGATGTGCACGTGGACGTGGACGTGGACGTGGACGTGGACTTGGAGGTGGAGGTGAACGTGGTCGTGGACGTGGACGTGGACGTGGTCGTGGACGTAGACGTGGACTTGGACGTGGACGTGGACTTGGATGTGGACGTGGACGTGGACGTGGACGTAGACTTGGACTTGGACGTGGACGTGGACCTGGACCTGGACCTGGACGTAAACTTGGACGTGGACGTGGAGGACGTGGATGTGGACGTGGAGGACGTGGACGTGGACATGGATGCTTATCTCTATGGGCGCCTATCTCTAGGGGCGCCTATCTCTAGGGGCCCCTATCTCTATGGGCGCCTTTCTCTATGGGCACCTATCTCTAAACCCACCGTGTGTTAAACCCACCGTGTGTTAAATCCACCGTGTCTTCAACCCACTGTATGTTAAACCCACCGGGTGTTCAACCCACTGTGTGTTCAACCCACCGTTTGTTCAACCCACCGTGTGTTCAACCCACCGTGTGTTAAACCTAACGTGTGTTAAACCCACCGTGTGTTCAACCCACCGTGTGTTCAACCCACAGTGTGTTCAACCCACCGTGTGTTCAACACACCGTGTGTTCAACCCATCGTGTGTTAAACATAACATGTGTTCAACCCACCGTGTGTTCAACCCACCGTGTGTTAAACCTAACGTGTGTTCAACCCACCGTGTGTTCAACCCACCGTGTGTTAAACCTAACGTGTGTTCAACCCACCGTGTGTTCAACCCACCGTGTGTTCAACCCACCGTGTGTTCAACCCACCGTGTGCTCAACCCACCGTGTGTTAAACCTACCGTGTGTTAAACCCACCGTGTGTTCAACCCACCGTGTGTTCAACCCACCGTGTGTTAAACCTAACGTGTGTTCAACCCAACGTGTGTTAAACCCACCGTGTGTTCAACCCACCGTGTGTTCAACCCACCGTGTGTTCAACCTACCGTGTGTTAAACCTACCGTGTGTTCAACCCACCGTGTGTTCAACCTACCGTGTGTTCAACCCACCGTGTGTTAAACCTACCGTGTGTTAAACCCACCGTGTGTTAAACCCACCGTGTGTTAAATCCACCGTGTGTTCAACCCACCGTGTGTTCAACACACGGTGTGTTCAACCCACCGTGTGTTCAACCCACCGTGTGTTCAACCCACCGTGTGTTCAACCCACCGTGTGTTCAACCCACCGTGTGTTAAACCCACCGTGTGTTAAACCCACCGAGTGTTAAACCCACTGTGTGTTCAACCCACCGTGTGTACAACCCACCGTGTGTTAAACCCACCGTGTGTTCAACCCACCGTGTGTTCAACCTACCGTGTGTTCAACCCACCGTGTGTTCAACCCACCGTGTGTTAAACCCATCGTGTGTTCAACCCACCATGTGTTCAACCCACCGTGTGTTCAACCCACCGCGTGTTCAACCCACCGTGTGTTAAACCCACCGTGTGATAAAACCACCGTGTGTTAAACCCACCGTGTGTTAAACCCACCGTGTGTTACACCCACCGTGTGTTAAACCCACCGTGTGTTAAACCCACCGTGTGTTCAACCCACCGTGAGTTCAACCCACCGTGTGTTAAACCCACCGTGTGTTCAACCCACCGTGTGCTCAACCCACCGTGTGTTAAACCTACCGTGTGTTAAATCCACCGTGTGTTCAACCCACCGTGTGTTCAACCCACCGTGTGTTCAACCCACCGTGTGTTCAACACACCGTGTGTTCAACCCACCGTGTGTTAAACCTACCGTGTGTTAAACCTACCGTGTGTTCAACCCACCGTGTATTCAACCCACCGTGTGTTCAACCCACCGTGTGTTCAACCCACCGTATGTTAAACCTACTGTGTGTTCAACCCACCGTGTGTTCAACCCACCGTGTGTTCAACCCACCGTGTGTTCAACCCACCGTGTGTTAAACCTACCGTGTGTTAAACCTAACGTGTGTTCAACCCACCGTGTGTTCAACCCACCGTGTGTTCAACCCACCGTGTGCTCAACCTACCGTGTGCTCAACCCACCGTGTGTTCAACCCACCGTGTGTTCAACCCACCGTGTGTTCAACCCATCGTGTGTTCAACCCACCGTGTGTTAAACCTAACGTGTGTTCAACCCACCGTGTGTTCAACCCACCGTGTGCTCAACCCACTGTGTGTTAAACCTAACGTGTGTTCAACCCACCGTGTGTTAAACCTAACGTGTGCTCAACCCACCGTGTGTTAAACCTAACGTGTGTTCAACCCACCGTGTGTTCAACCCACCGTGTGCTCAACCCACCGTGTGTTAAACCTAACGTGTGTTCAACCCACCGTGTGTTCAACCCACCGCGTGTTCAACCCACCGTGTGTTAAACCCACCGTGTGTTAAACCCACCGTGTGTTAAACCCACCGTGTGTTAAACCCACCGTGTGTTAAACCCACCGTGTGTTAAACCCACCGTGTGTTCAACCCACCGTGTGTTCAACCCACCGTGTGTTAAACCCACCGTGTGTTCAACCCACCGTGTGCTCAACCCACCGTGTGTTAAACCTACCGTGTTTTAAATCCACCGTGTGTTCAACCCACCGTGTGTTCAACCCATCGTGTGTTCAACCCACCGTGTGTTCAACACACCGTGTGTTCAACCCACCGTGTGTTAAAACTACCGTGTGTTAAACCTACTGTGTGTTCAACCCACCGTGTGTTGAACCCACCGTGTGTTCAACCCACCGTGTGCTCAACCCACCGTGTGTTAAACCTACCGTGTGTTAAATCCACCGTGTGTTCAACCCACCGTGTGTTAAACCCACCGTGTGCTCAACCCACCGTGTGTTCAACCCACCATGTGTTCAACCCACCGTGTGTTCAACCCACCGTGTGTTAAACCTAACGTGTGTTAAACCCACCGTGTGTTCAACACACTGTGTGTTCAACCCACAGTGTGTTCAACCCACCGTGTGTTCAACCCACCGTGTGTTCAACCCACCGTGTGTTCAACCCACCGTGTGTTCAACCCACCGTGTGTTCAACCCACCGCGTGTTCAACCCACCGTGTGTTCAACCCACCATGTGTAAAACCCACCGTGTGTAAAACCCACCGTGTGTTCAATACACCGTGTGTTCAACCCACCGTGTGTTAAACCCACCGTGTGTTAAACCTACCGTGTGTTCAATACACCGTGTGTTCAACCCACCGTGTGTTAAACCCACCGTGTGTTCAACCCACCGTGTGTTCAACCCACCGTGTGTTCAACCCACTGTGTGTTGAACCCATCGTGTGTTCAACCCACCGTGTGTTCAACACACCGTATGTTCAACCCACCGTGTATTCAACCCACCGTGTGTTCAACCCACCGTGTGTTCAACCCACCGTATGTTAAACCTACTGTGTGTTCAACCCACCGTGTGTTCAACCCACCGTGTGTTCAACCCACCGTGTGTTCAACCCACCGTGTGTTAAACCTACCGTGTGTTAAACCTAACGTGTGTTCAACCCACCGTGTGTTCAACCCACCGTGTGTTCAACCCACTGTGTGCTCAACCTACCGTGTGCTCAACCCACCGTGTGTTCAACCCACCGTGTGTTCAACCCACCGTGTGTTCAACCCATCGTGTGTTCAACCCACCGTGTGTTAAACCTAACGTGTGTTCAACCCACCGTGTGTTCAACCCACCGTGTGCTCAACCCACTGTGTGTTAAACCTAACGTGTGTTCAACCCACCGTGTGTTAAACCTAACGTGTGCTCAACCCACCGTGTGTTAAACCTAACGTGTGTTCAACCCACCGTGTGTTCAACCCACCGTGTGCTCAACCCACCGTGTGTTAAACCTAACGTGTGTTCAACCCACCGTGTGTTCAACCCACTGCGTGTTCAACCCACCGTGTGTTAAACCCACCGTGTGTTAAACCCACCGTGTGTTAAACCCACCGTGTGTTAAACCCACCGTGTGTTAAACCCACCGTGTGTTAAACCCACCGTGTGTTCAACCCACCGTGTGCTCAACCCACCGTGTGTTAAACCTACCGTGTTTTAAATCCACCGTGTGTTCAACCCACCGTGTGTTCAACCCATCGTGTGTTCAACCCACCGTGTGTTCAACACACCGTGTGTTCAACCCACCGTGTGTTAAAACTACCGTGTGTTAAACCTACTGTGTGTTCAACCCACCGTGTGTTAAACCCACCGTGTGTTCAACCCACCGTGTGCTCAACCCACCGCGTGTTAAACCCACCGTGTGTTAAATCCACCATGTCTTCAACCCACCGTGTGTTAAACCCACCGGGTGTTCAACCCACCGTGTGTTCAACCCACCGTGTGTTCAACCCACCGTGTGTTCAACCCACCGTGTGTTAAACCTAACGTGTGTTAAACCCACCGTGTGTTCAACCCACCGTGTGTTCAACCCACAGTGTGTTCAACCCACCGTGTGTTCAACCCACCGTGTGTTCAACACACCGTGTGTTCAACCCACCGTGTGTTAAACATAACATGTGTTCAACCCACCGTGTGTTCAACCCACCGTGTGTTAAACCTAACGTGTGTTCAACCCACCGTGTGTTCAACCCACCGTGTGTTCATGCCACCGTGTGTTCAACCCACCGTGTGCTCAACCCACCGTGTGTTAAACCTACTGTATGTTAAACCCACCGTTTGTTCAACCCACCATGTGTTCAACCCACCGTGTGTTCAACCCACCGTGTGTTCAACCTACCGTGTGTTCAACCCACCGTGTGTTAAACCTACCGTGTGTTAAACCCACCGTGTGTTAAACCCACCGTGTGTTAAATCCACCGTGTGTTCAACCCACTGTGTGTTCAACACACGGTGTGTTCAACCCACCGTGTGTTCAACCCACCGTGTGTTCAACCCACCGTCTGTTCAACCCACCGTGTGTTCAACCCACCGTGTGTTAAACCCACCGTGTGTTAAACCCACCGTGTGTTAAACCCGCCGTGTGTTCAACCCACCGTGTGTACAACCCACCGTGTGTTAAACCCACCGTGTGTTCAACCCACCGTGTGTTCAACCTACCGTGTGTTCAACCCACCGTGTGTTCAACCCACCGTGTGTTAAACCCATCGTGTGTTCAACCCACCGTGTGTTCAACCCACCGCGTGTTCAACCCACCGTGTGTTAAACCCACCGTGTGTTAAACCCACCGTGTGTTCAACCCACCGTGTGTTAAACCCACCGTGTGTTAAACCCACCGTGTTTTCAACCCACCGTGTGTTCAACCCACCGTGTGTTCAACCCACCGTGTGTTCAACCCACCG